AGGCATGCGTAGGGGTAGCGCCATGATCACACCTGGACCACCGCCACGACGCACCAACTAAGCTAGCTAAGCTTCCGCGTAAGCATGGGATGGATGGCCATTTGCACGCCATACATATCCACAGGTGGCTCGACCGAAATGGCTCCTACGTATCCTTGTTCCCGCGTCCATGCTTGTCTCGTACGTCCATCCTTGATTCGCAGGATTACCAAGATATTTATTTTAGAGAAAGGGTCTGTTTAGGACACATCTAGATGTGACATTGTTATCTCACATTTAACCTAATGTTCATTATGTTTGTGGTTTATTTTTTTTGTTTCTTATTGCTACGTTATTTGTGGGAGCTTGGATGTGACATCCTTAAAAAACATTTAGATGTGAATTAGACAAACTGTTAGAGAAAAGCTGCATATGCCCGACTAGAGGATGGAGAGGAGAGAATTTCACATGGCTTCTCTATTATACTTGGATCTAGAGAAATTAGAGAGAACAGATGGCTAAGGGGACGTGCCCAGGTGGACGTGGCGGCGGAGTCTTTGCGGGCTCGATCTGAGCCTAGCCGGGCCCAGGTGGCCTGGTTTTCCTCCTGTCGCGGTGTCCGGCCGGCTACCACGATGGCGTTGGAGGAACTGGCCTCTGGTGCAACGGCGGTGGAGGTTGTCCCCTCCCGCTTGGCCGTGGTGCTGCTGCCCCTGGCTTCATGCGTTCTCATTTTCTGTCCTCTAGGCCTCGCGGTGGTGGACTCAGTGAGACGGTGTGGGTGGCTTCAAGACCGTGGTGGCGCAGGCAGGCGGGTGGCGTGCTGGGTGGAAGACTTCGGAGGGATTGGGTAGTGGTGTTTTGGGAGTGGGAGAAATCCATGTTGGCTCGTCCGACTCCGACGCAGTGACGCCTGCGGGTGCCGCCACCTCTCCTTGGAGGGCGTCAGGTGACCCCTTTTAGCTTCTTCCTCCGCGTGCCGGGGGAATCCCTAGACAAGTCCGGGCAATAGCATCGTTGTCGTCGTTGCTTGGTACGCGGCGCTCCAGAGTGTTGGGTGCGTGGTGGGACGACTTCGGAGGGCGCAACGGTGGTGGGTCATTCACATGTCGTCAAGCTGCCATTGTTGGCATTTGTTTCTCTCTTCTTCTTGTTTTATCTTTGGGCTTGATGTGCTGTTCCGCCCTAGCAATGCGGTGATGGTTGCTTTGTAATACAAAGCGGGGGAAACCTTATTTCAAGAAATTAGAGAGAACTAGAGATGGCGTGCTCGTAAGGGACTTGTGTGTCTCTAGGGGCGCCACCCTTTAATATATGTGGGTGGAGGGGAGGGGAGGCAACCGACTTAAGATCCCTCCTTGGCACACCGTTCATGAGAAGAAGTCCTTTTCTAAGTCCAATTCGCACCCTAGATTGTCCAACAAGCTATGGAGGGCGCCTCCATCTTACTGGGACTTCTAAATCCATTAATTCTTCCCTAATAGGACTTTAGCATATTAGGGAGTAGGCAAAGAAAAGAAAAGCGTAGGCTGGCCGGAGGCATACATTTTTTTTCTCTTTGAGGGAGGAGGCGTACTTTTACTTCGACGTGGCCGTGCGATGTGGGGGTGGGGGCATATCGGGCGCAAATTTGAGCCTTTGATTTCTGCTTCAGGATTCGTGTTCATAGAGTAGATAGATTAGAAATTCCTAAAATATGACCGGGTCGAACGCCTAGGGCTACCTTAACCAAGACACACTAATCAAAAGTTTATTTTAGAGCTAAGCTATATTTAAGATGCCTGGAAAATGAATTTGGACCAGTGTATTTTTTAGCCTCTGGTTTCTGCTTCAAGATTCATGCTGTTTTTTTTTTCCTCTATTGTATCTGCTTTCATATTTTGGGCTGAAAATTCTGACTAACCACTCCTTTGGGTCAGTTGATTCCATATTGGGCTGAAGCCCATTTCGTGTTTCCTTATGCTGTCTGTTTATAAGCCGACGATGCTTTCCTCTTTTCCTTCTGTTTGTATGCCTTTTTAGCTTTCTTCTCTGAGCCGATTTTTATGGACATTTTTGGAATGTTGGGTGAGTTTAAAATATATACATGCAAGTACTAGATAACATGTGTATAAAAAATACTCTCTCCGATCCAAAATAAGTGTCGTGGTTTTAGTTGAAAAAACCATGACACTTATTTTGGATCGAAGGGAGTATTAGAGTGTGAAAAATGCACTAATATAAGTTTATTTCGGAGTGTGGCATTTCTGCTCCCGGGCTCAGCTGCACCCGTGCTAACAAAAAAATCAAAACAAATAATAGAAAAATTCAAAAAATCCAATTTTTTGTGGTAGATAATTTGATGCGTGAGGTTCGCTGCAAATTTCAACGCATTTGGACATTTGAGCAGCTCTCTGCAAAAAAGACAAAATCAGGGTATGTAAAATTGTTTACTGTTCACGCACTGTATTGACCCGATTTGTCTTTTTGCCGAGAGTTGAAATTTGGAGCGGACCTCACGCATCAAATTATCTACCACAAAAAAAATTGGATGTTTTTGAATTTTTCTAGTATTTGTTATGAATTTTTTTCTGACCGGGAGCAGATGAGACTCGGCACCGATTTGGATTTTCGTGTATTTCGTACATACTAAAAAAGTGCAAAGTTGTATGCAGTTTTTTTTATTTCTTCCTAAAGGATAATACCAATATCCTTTATTATTTTGATTATATTTTAGTTTGTATTTTATTTATTCTCCACTAAGGTTGATACCAATCCCCCTAATTTGTTCCTTGTAATTTTCTTTCGAAATTCCACTATCATACTTGTTTTTGCATAATACATATAAAGCACAATTTGTATGTAAATTCTATGCAAATTCTGTCATTATTTGCTTTAAATTTTTCTAAATTATCTTTCTTTTTAAAGGGTAATATCAATGCCAGTAATTTCATATTTCTGAGAAAACTTCATTATTTTGTTTTGTTTGCTTCATTTTATTTCATCTTTAAGGATAATATCAATGACACCAAATTCGTTCCTTCTTAGATTTATTTCTTCAAAATTTCACTATTATTTGCTTATTCATGCATATTATAAAAACTCATAATTCCTGTGTAATTATTTGCAATTTTTGTCATTATTTGTTTTTATTCCCTTTCTTGTTAAATAGTAACGCCAATCCCATTAATTTATTATTTCTTAGAAAATATTGCTGTTGTTGTTGATATAATAATAATAATAATAATAATAATAATAATAATAATAATTTTAAATCTCATTTTTCCTTTAAGGGAAATAGTAATGCTACTTATAAAAGGAAACGTTTCTTCCTAGAATTCCACAATTGTATGTTTATTTTGCATATTAACAAGAGTATTTTATGTCTAAATTGTGCGCAATTGTTTCGTTATTTTCACTAATTCGGTACTTCTTAGGAAACTTCTTTTCAACAAAATTCCACTGCTATAGGCTTATTCTTGCATATTATTAAAAATGTAATTTTTGTTTAAACTACGTGCAAATTTTGTCAATATTTGTTCTAGTTTTGTTGATTATTTTCTTAAAAGGGTAGTATCAATGCCACTAATTCATTCTTACTTGAATTACTTCACTTTTTGTTTTATTTCTGTTCATTTATTCAATACAATGACACCACCTCAAGTATTCGAATTTCAGGTGAGTGTCACTTTTTCTTCTTTTGGTTATCGGGTTAACAACTCACAATAAATTTATACCATGGTTATTAAAAAACTGTGATCTTTTGAAAATACCTCGAACATCAATAGTAAAATGTGAATTCCCCTAATAATTGACAAAAAAGTAGTATGTTATTTTCTTAATGAGGGTGTATTCCAATAATTTATTTCCCAATAGTATCTCGTGAGGCATGAAGTTAAAATCCTTGGTCCTATAGAAGTACACTCTTTTCTGGACAAATGTTGAAGCTAGATGTACACTCTTCACCGAAACAAGGAAGTACAGTACAATGACTAGCTTACCTTTATCTAAAAAATAGTAATTAGTGTGCGTAGAGAGCACAGCTGGTCGACTGATCTATCACATCAATGACACAGTCACATAGGCTGGGCCTGCCTTCTATCGCTAGCTGCATCGCCAATTCTTTTGGTGGCTTTTTGGGCTTATAGAATAAGCTGTCCCCTGCCTAGTTTATTCTAAAAGCCCAACTGATTCTTTGGCCTAATAGGCTTTTAAATAAAATTGGTTGGATTTCTAGAATAAGCTGGGTAGAAGGCAGTTTATTTTGGAAGCCAACAAAAAAAACTGACCATCGCCAATGTTTTGGTAAATGGGCCAAAGCTTGCGCTCTTTGCAATGCTTGTTTTACTGTCTTTACTTGTGTCCATCCCTGAGCATGTAGTAGCAATCTAGCAAATTTCTCCGTCCGGAAATATTTGTCGGAGAAATGGATGTATGTAGATGTATTTTATTTCTAGATGCATCTATTTTTATCCATTTCGCCGACGAGTATTTTCGAACGGAGGGAGTATTATATAAAAAAAAGCAAATTAGCAAATTATTAGACTAAAAAAAGGCAATCTAGCACATTGCCCTTAAAAAAATTATGGTCGCTTAGTTGACCCAAATTTTGTTTTCAGCCAATTAATCTCTAGCTGGTCCCTTATTTTTATAGTATACTCCACCGTCCCGAAAAATGGTGCGATCAAATCAAATTCAATGAATGTCTATGTTGGGCTTGCCGTTGACATCTCCATGAGCAGGCTCATCCTCTCCACTCACCACATGCATGTAATCTTCCTCAAAAAAAAAAAAAACCACATGCATGTAATCGAACCAAGGTACAGTTCATATTTGATAAAGTATCGTTCATCCAGGAAAGTAGACTGAAACCAGCAGAACGATAACAAAAAAACAAGAATATAATTCGATGGTACTCCACCCTTGTTTATACTATTCAGCAAAGGAAAGTAAACGGATCTCGACCAGTAGCCAGTAGCCGCCCATGCATCACGAATGGTTAATTCATGGCATCTCTCGCATGGTCAGCGTCTCCGTCTCCGTCAACGCAACGGCGGGATGCTCTGCTCGTTGCTCAAGTAGTCGGTGGGATCCACGGCCGCCTTCACCGCCGCCAGCCGCCGGTAGTTGCCCACGAAGTAGCGCTCGCCCCACACCTCGCCGCTCTCCGGCGTGCCATCGTTCTGGCCGATGTCCAGGTCCCGGAAGTTGACGTACGCCCGCCTAGGGTTCTTGCTCACGTGCTGTCCCATGAAGTCGTACAGGCCGCCGATCCAGGCCGTCGCCGCCGTGCCGTCGCCTCCCTGCTGCCAGAACGCGATGTACTGGATGACGTACAGCACGCCGTGCCGGTGCGGGTAGGGCGTCGCCGCGGCGGGGACGCTGCCCATGAACCCGCCGTGGGGCTCCAGCAAGATGAACCCGGCGCCGTCCATGGTGAACCAGGAGAAGATCTCCTCCCACGCGGCCTTGGGGATGGCGCGCTGGACGTAGTCGGACTTGATCTTCCCGGCGCTGCTCTGCCCGGCGGTCCTGCTCAGCAGCGCCTCCTCCAGCGTGCCGTTCCTGCCGAAGCTGATGAAGGGTGTGGCCGCCGACTGCAGCCAGGTCATCGGCTGGCAGTCGGCGCTCGTCATGCCCAGCTCCGGGAACTGGTCGCCCATCGTCGCCACCAGCGAGTCGCATGCCCCGAGGTACAGGGCCTGGAACATGGCCTGCTGCCCTTGCACGATCACCCTTATGGTGAGGTCGCTGGGGAGAACCGGCGCGACGTGCTGCCATCTGGCGAGGATGCCCACGGCGCCCTCGTCGACCGTCTTCGCGATGTTGAACACCGCCACCGTCGGCGGGACCTGCACCAGCTGGATCTTCCACGAGAGCACGATGCCGAAGTTCCCGCCGCCGCCGCCCCGGATGGCCCAGAAGAGGTCCTCCCCCATGTCAGCCCTGTCAAGCAGATCGCCGTCGGCGTTGACCAGCTTGGCATCGAGGACCTTGTCCGCAGAGAGGCCGTGCTTGCGCATCATCATGCCGATGGCGCCGCCGCTGAAGTGGCCGCCCACGCCGATGGTGGCGCACTCGCCGGCCGGGAACGCGATCCGGGAGTCGTTCTTGGCGATGGCGTAGTAGAGCTCCCCGATGGTGGCGCCGGAGTCGACCCAGGCCGTGGACTCGAGCCGGTTGACGCGCACGGCCCGGAGGTTGGCGCCGAGGTCGACCACCGCGAACACCTCGGAAGGCCGCACGGACCGGTACGAGAGGCCCTCGTAGTCGTGCCCGCCGCTGCGTACGCGGAGGCGCACGCCATGCCCGCGGCCGCAGAGCACGGCGGCCTGGACGTGGGAGGCGTCGGCGGGCGTGACGATGCAGAGCGGCCTCGCCGTGGCGTTGGTGAGGAACTTGGTGTTCCTGATGGTGGAGGCCAGCACATCGGTGAAGTTGGTGGAGCTCTGCGTGTACACGAGCTCGCTGGGTATCTTGGCGCTCAGCAGGCACCGGAGGAAACCATCAGCTGGAGAAGCAACGGAGCACGAGAAGAAGAAGCTCAGAGAGAAGGCGAGTGCTAAGCAGCCTCCGACTCGTAGCATGCCCATCTTGTTTTTGCTGGTTGTATCGCAGCAAGCAAGAGTAGGCGTATATATGCTGTGCTTAGACTACCTGCCGTATCAAGCACTTATATACTATGCCGTAGCAAGAAAGTCCTCCTCAATTGTTTAGGTCTTAGTGGATCAAGTCATGGTCAAAGTGATATAACATGTACTCCCTCTGTTTCATATTATAAAAGCACACTAGTGTAAGCAACGCTCTTATATTATGAAACGGAATGCGTAAGAACGAAAAAAAACTAAAACAAGAAACTTATACGGACCTCAATGTAAGATATCATGACTATTAGACGGTGGATCTGATGTGTTTCCTTTTTATTTTCTTGAGAGCACACATTTCATAATATGACTTGGCCGAGGACACCAGCGCGCTAGCTATAACAAAGACACACTATGCGATTTATGCCGCTTGATTTTACTCATGTCATCTATAATCATTGTAATTTTCTCTTTCGAATATCTGGATGGACATCGCCCGGGATGTGGTTATTTCTCTTAGAGTACTCTTTCTCTTATTACAAGTGATGCTATGATCCTTGTGAATGAATAAAGGAGGAAATAATTGTCAGGAAGAATAAGACACACTACACGACTATGCTGGGTTTATCGTTGACATCTGAATGAACATGTGGCCATGTGCACCACAGGTCCACATGCATGTCACGATCGAACAAAAGCAAAATATGACTTGGCCGAGGACTAAGCGCTAGTGGAAAGTAAATGGATCCCGAACAGTGGGTAGCATGAGAGGAATAGTAAGAGCATCTACATCCGCATATACCACAAAATTGACCTATGGTATATCCACAGAGAGCATTTCCGTCCCCTGCAACCACATATTTAAATTTCACACTCTAAATTCATATAACAGAGACGATGATCGGGATGACGGCCCCGTCACGTTTCCTTGGCGACTCGCTAGGCGACTCCGCACCATGGCGGTGGCCGGCGTGGTTCGCCGCCAATTTATGGACGGCGACGACTCTCAGGCTGCACCGCGGGGAGGTCGTGCTCGGCCCGCACCTGGCGACGGTGGATCTCGTCGACGAGTGGGGGTGCACGGTGGACACGCGGACCAGGAGAGGGCTCGTGTTGGCCCCTGGCACCACGATCGTTTTCCTTGTCATGTTGTGCACATCGAGGAGAAGGACCCGGGCGGGAGCGACGTCTCGGGAGCCGGCGAGGGAGGAATTGCGGCCGGTGGGAGAGGAATTGCAGCCGGTGGGGGATTAAATTCGGGCAATACTTATGGTGAGTTCGCCCCGTTCCCTCTCGGTCCTTCACTTCCTTCCCCAGCTCCCTCGTCCCCCTCTCTCCTGGTTGGCGACTGCGGCGGCGATGGTGGAGATCAGCGAGGAGAAGATGAGGAGATTTGCAGGCAAGGATGCGCGCCTGCGCGCTCGCCTGCGGGAGATCGGTTCGTGGTACACCAGCAAAAAGGAGATGTATGCGGAGGCGGAGGAAACCTTCGAGAGTCTGACGGCAGTGGAGGAGAGATCTCTGTTCGGGCGGGGTTCACGCAAGCACCCGCTCCAGGTGCTGCTGTGGGCGATGGATCGGGCGGACTCGCCGGTGAGGGCTGTGGCAAGGAAGTGGGTCGTGTTCACCTCCTTCGAGACAACGAACCTCGCCCGGCCATGACGGAATCGGCACTCAGATCCCGCGAGGGGGTTCTGGCCCTCCCTGCCCCAGGCTCGGCCATGGCGCCGATCGAGATTCGCCAAGATCCGGTGGTCCAGCCACTGCAGGAGGAGGCGCGGACCCCACGTCGCTATGCTCGACTCGCCCCAACTCTGACAACCCCGACTCCACGCTGCTCGGCACGCCTCACCGGAAACGATGCTTGAAGCCTTCGCTAGCCCACAACCGCTTCTGGAGGTTGGCTAGCGAAGATTCAGGTACCGATTCCGATGAGGATGAAGATGCAGGTAATGACTGCAAACCCATCCCTTCATGTGTTTCTTTTGCCTGCAAATATAGAGGGAAATCTTATGATATTGATATGCAAAGCCGAATCAAGCGAGTCAATCGAAAAATGAAAAAAAAATGAATCAATATGTTCAGAGTTTGCTTCTGAAACATGAGGGTGATGCTGATAAGAAGAAATTTGATAGGATCCAAACTGAGTGTAGTAGGGACCTGATTCAGACTGATTCTCCTAGCTGGGGAAACTATGGTTGTGGTAATATAAATATGGCACTTGTTAAAATGAAACCTAAAAATCCAATAATCTGGGGTTATACCAGATTCCCTGAGTTTTTAAGTGATATTGAGCCTGATGATTTTAACCCTCCCCAAAGAGTTGATGTCTCTAGTTTTGTGGAGAATGAGAGGCTGGACAGGATTGATAAGGAAGCTTTCAATCTAGATATTCCTGAAAATCATATGCTTGAGGAAGTGGTTGATGAAATTCAGAGGAGGGGGGGGGATTCAGATTACTGGAAAAAGAACAGAGAAGACATCAGAGGAGGAAAGTGGGAACATGTGAGCTTTGGTAAAGTGGGCTTTATGGGCACCTGGCCCAATAAGGTGGACAACATTGGGTGCCTTGGAAGGGGCGTGGAGGGGATGGACATATATAACAGAGGCATTCCACCTCTCGTTCCAGAACCAGACTTCCTCCACCCCCCCAAACCCAAAAAAATCCAAGGCGACGGCGAACAGAGAGACCGGGCTTGAGGAAGAAGAGATTGCCTGGGGAGAAGAAGAGAACATGGCTAATAGACAGGAGAATTGGCGTCCAAGGCTAGGCAGGGGAACAGGCTTCGGAGGAAGAGGTAATTATTATAGCAAGCCTAACAATTCTGAGAGAGGTTTCAATAGACAAGATGGGAGCGATCATGATAGTTTTGACTAGAGGAACAGAGATGGAAATTACAGAGGGGGATCTGGGACCAACAGCAGTGGTTCTGGGGGGAGAAGGTATCTCTATGGGAAATGGTAGAGATCTTGATGGCAAGACAGGAAATTTCGGCCCAGGCAGAGTGGGGGGCAAGAATAAAGTGTTCATGGTGGGATTGAAGAGATTGGATCTGGCAGTAGTTTTGCTACAGTCAATCCTAATGTTCAACAGGTGGGTATGCAAAGGGGACAGATGCAGGTGGCAGGTGGTTTCCCTATGATGAACAAACCTAGCTTCCCTCAGCTGGTACCTGTTGGAATAGGTCTGGGACAATTTGGCTTCATGCATGCCACAGGAACAAATGCCGCAACAATACCAGTATGTGCTTTCTAACATGCCAAAACATGAGACTCTGAAGCTACAGGGGCAACAGAAAGATGAAGGGGAAAAAGATGTGCCAAAGAAGAAAGAACCAGGGAACAACAACAAGGAATTGTTCTGTGTCAAATGCAAAGAACAGGGACATCTTAAGAGTGACTGCAAAAATAAACTTTCTTGTGTGGTGTGCCAGAGAGTATCACACAATACTGATGAATGCACAGTTCTAAAGCAAGCCAAACCTGTAGCTAAGTATGTGGAATATGGAGCTAGGGGTTTGGGATGTTTATTGGTGCAGCACACTAAAGACATTGTAGCTGCTGAGCATACAAACCCAATGGCATTGGTAAAGGTTCAATCTGGGCAGCTGAATGAAACCACAGTAGCTTATGGATTCTCCAAGATGTTTGAATGGGGATGGACCTGGAGAGCCAAATTTCAAAGTCCTACAACCTTTCTGATAAGATTTCCTACAAAGCTAAACTGGTGGAATTAAAGAACATTGGAAAATTCACTTTACTGGGGACATGAGCAATGGTTGAGGTTGACTTCTGGTGTCCAGATGATAAAGCCAAGGGGAAGTTACATTCTGTGTGGATAAAAATGTGGGGAGTGCCTGACACCCTGAGACATTACTTGGGGGTGTGTGAGATTGGCTCTGCTTTGGGGCGAGTAGTGGAGGTTGATGTAGAGCACATACATTCCAAGGAAGAGATAAAAATGAAAGTTGGGTTGAGAGACATACACAAGATTCCAGTAGGGACTGAGATAGCCACTAAAGACTTGCTTTTGTATGACATAAACTTTGAGTTTGACTCAGTTGCTGAACAGGGTTGCTACAAGTTTGAGGAGGGAAATAAAAGGAAGGTGTTGGAATATTTAGATCTAGAAAATTTTGAGACACAAAGAGAGAATGACATGCAGAAGAAAAGCAAACAAGCAGACACTGGGAAACAGAACATGAGCCTGGGAGTTTGGGTCTGAAACAGTATGAACAATTGGTTTTGAAGACTGGGGAGATTTGCCAAACCAATGAAATTCCTAAAGAGAACAGAGGCAGATGTAGTTGCAGAGTCACATGGGAGAGAGGAAACCCTGATGCTTAGGTTGCAAAAAGCAGAGGAATTGGCTGCTAGACAGACTGCACAGCCGATGCTGGAAGAAAAAAAAAGGAGAAATGAAATGTAGATTGTTAGGAAAACACTTGAAAAGGAGGTCAAGAGGCAACATGAGCTGCTTCAGATTAATCTGAAAGGGTGTGAGAATGTGAAAAGGTCACAATCTGGAGATAAAAACACTGCTGAGGGAGAGGAAGTGGAAGCTTTTGATGAAGATATGGTGCTTGAGGACAAACAGGATGAGGGTGGGGATATGACAGATCAAGAACTAATGGCACAAGCTATTGGGCTAGGATATGTAGAGCCGGTGGACTATATAGCTAGCCAGGAGACGGACTCTTTTGAGACCAAGATTATGAAGGCTGGTAAAGGAGATGCTGATCCTAAAGATGAAGAGGAAGAGTTGAGAAGGTGCATTAGATTAAAAGGAAAAGAAGATCGCAATATCATAGAGCTAGCCAAGGAGAGGGCAGCAAAGAAGGACAACTATGGTGAGTTGACCTGTATTGGGAATTTTCCAAATTCTGGCAGTTTCTTTCAAAAGGTTGCTGAGGGGGTTGGAGTTAAATTGGGAAATAATCCTGATATGATTAAACACAATTTAGAATTGATAAAAAATGTGGAACATGCTAGAATTGATCCGTGGTTGT